CCCATCGATGTGTCGACCCATCTAGATAGCCTTTTCTTGAGTTGACATGTTTACCATGGTGGCTAGACGAGCTTGCTCCAGCTTCACAAGAGTTCACAAGTTTCACCAGAGTGAGACTTGTAAACCGGAAGTAGTGAAGCAGTGAAAGTGCAAAATGTCCTCTCCCCCGTCCCCGAACTGCGTCAAGCGCTCCTTTGTTAGGAACTGAAAACCAGGGACACTTTACTCCGGGTGAGGGAGAGACCACAACCCGCCAGTTTGGACTCTAGACCGCGGGTTTGTATCATTTTTTCAGAGGTGGGCGGGGCTACAGTGCAGTTCTCAGCGGACGGTGGGGCGGTCCTAAGGCCACGCTGGCGAGCGGCCCGATAGTTGCCTGTCGGTGGATGGCCGCAAAAACCTTGCCTCTGCGTCTCTTACTCTGCACTCTGCGCTCTAACACACGCCGCCGCACCGTCTACCCACTCTTCCGCTATGGGCTCTTACCGATCGATAATTCTCTCGATCAGCTGATTCCTGCCGCATTTTCGCAGTATTTTTGCTAGATTCAGCTTGTTAAAGCTGAAATTTTTCGACTTTTGACTTCAATGTTCGAAGGTGAGTATTCTTACTGAAATTATATCACATGAATTTAGCATTAAATTGGGAAAGAAAAAAAAATTGAAATTGGGAATTTTAGCATGGAAAAGCGAACCATAAGGCAACTTCGAGCTTCAAAAAAGTGTCAGAGATGGTTCTCGATAATAGCGAGATCATCTGAGACACTGCTTTGAAAACTCGGTCAATATCAGGGGATATTAAGGAAAAGTTTGGAGAAATTGCGAAAATCAGAAAGAAAAACAAGTTTCCTAGGGGAATTTCATGCTAAATTCATTCAAAATGTGGAATACTTTCAGTAAGGATACTCACCTTCGAACATTGAGGTCAAAAGTCGAAAAATTTCAGCTTTAACAAGCTGAATCTAGCAAAAATACTGCGAAAATGCGGCAGGAATCAGCTGATCGAGAGCAATTATCGATCGGTAAGAGCCCAGAGCGGAAGAGTGGGTAGACGGTGCGGCGGCGTGTGTTAGAGCGCAGAGTGCAGAGTAAGAGACGGAGAGGCAATGATGATAATCTCCTGAAACTTTTCGGCTTCCCATCGACACGCAATCA